AATCTCTGTTGTTGTTGGCCAAAAACCTGGTTATTTGTTGTGTGGACCGGGGGGTGTGGAGTGGAACGCCAAAGTGCGGGTCCGGCCGTGGCACCCACCTGCAACCTCCGTCGCCTCCTGTCTTCTTGACTCTGTCTTGATGCCGGATCCAGGTGGGGGAGGAGAGAGTGCAGTAGATGCTGAGCAAGTCTCCCACCCACTATAAACCAAATCACGCGTAAGTTACCGTCCCTGCCCGCACCTTGATGTGGAGCACACGGTGGACATCGTCGGATGCGACGGCTGAACTATCGATGTATGTATTTTAAGGGCTACAGACCGAGCCTTCGACTGAAGGGACTGGGAGTTGGCGTTGTGTGTCGGTGCCGTTCCAGGCTTTGAAGCCGATCTTTTGGCGTTGGCAGTGACAGTCGGATTGGTTTTTTAAATCGCTGCTTCAGTCTTCACTGCTACCCTTCAGGGCGATCGATTCAAGGTCTCCGGAACGATCCGCAGGCGCTCGAGAGAGGTCCTCAGAGTGTCTGTGGGATGCCACTTTGTCCTCTTTATCGGCGAAAATCCATAGCGGTATCGCCGCGGAAGAGTTGCCTGGGTACTTACTTGTTGTCCTTCCTCGCGAGATAGCTGCTCCAACACAATTACAGTCACCCCAACATGGCACAGATGCTGGAAGTTCCGGCTCGTTCGAGGGCTGCCGTACCCAGGATCCTGTTTTTACACCTCGTTGACAATCTGGGACTCCGCTTTATACAGCGACGCTGTCAGGATGACAACTTCGTACATCTCGAGTTTTGTGTTCGACTGGAGACCGTGACCATTCCATACTGAATCCTACATTCAGCGAAGGCCTGGATGTCTTTGGAAATTCCCTTTGTGCCTCCATCGCCGTTATTTATGTCCATTGTTTGTGTACCGTCTGAATAGGCAGGTTTATCCCTATTTCTGGTTGATGCCGTTAATACTGATTTCATGGTCGTTGTATTCAGTGTTTGACGTCAAACGGTGCATAACCACTGCTTTATCCCTGTTAATGATCAGTCCGAAGTGTTCACAGCCAGAGACAAATAAGTCCCTGTTCCGTTGAATTAATCAGTAATCATGGTAATGGAGAGCTTCTTTGGGCCCTGTATGCGTCGGATGTCGAGAAGTGACTTTCTGTATTGAAGGCAATGTTAACACCTAACCGTTCTTCAGGGTGTGTCTCTAACTTCATGGTAAGGATCACGGGGCTGAAAAGGCTGAGCGCGAGTACGGGGTCCTGCTTCACCCAAATGATTATCGCAAAGCCGACCGAGACTGCCTCAGTGTCTGTAACGCGCGCTGTAAGTATGTCATGAAGCCGTCGTATCACCTGGGTGACTTGCTTAGGAGGTCCGGATTTCTACACGATTTTCCTAATCACACCGTGATTCACTGTGCGAATGTCTTTGTCAGGTCCACGAAGTCAGTTTAGAGCTTGGTCTGCAATTCCTAGCATTCCTCCTGAAGTTGGCTGGTGGCGAAGATCGTTTCGGTGGTTCCGTGGTCTCTTCGGAATCTGTACTGACTCCCAGGAATGAGTCATTACTCTAGATGCGTGTTCCGGCGATTAGAGTGGACGGAGGCTCATATTTTCCACGCGATGTTGAGAAACGCAGTGCCTCTACTAGTATCACATTGTTGTCAACTCCTTTTCCACTTTCGGGGGTGAAGGATTGTCGTGTCTTTTAAATCCTAAGGGACTTGCCCTTGTTGCCACGTCTCCTGAAAGAGGGAGGTGTGCATGTCCATCAGCTGATGACGCAGTATTTGTGGATTCTGTCCTGGTCCTTGATGCTTTGTTGCTGACTTTGATCGTCTCTTAAAGCGGGAGTGGACGACCTTGGCAGACGTTGGGTTTCGCTTGAGGCGACATGTTGATGACATCACTGCAGATCGTGGATGGACAATGTTGTTTCCGTGGCTGATGTCGGCTGTTTGCAGCCTGTTCTACCGCAGCACGCTGCAGATATTTTCGTGGTCGTTCGACGGATCCTGGTGTCGACAGTGGCCGAGGACGTCCGGGATGGTGGAGGGAATGATAGTCCATGGTCACCGTCATTGCGTCCCCGCGGTGGCGCTGTTGTTTGAAGCCTGTCGATCTCCTAGGTATTGAGCCACTTAGTTGATGGACCTACGCAGTGAGTAAACACGTTTAACAGAGCGGTATATAATTAGCCTGTCGTTGGCTTACCTTTTGGTCCTGTACAGCCTCATTTTCGAGAAGACAAGGCAGTGGCCGTCCTGTAATTGAGCAGCGCAGATAGTCTTTGT